ATTGATCACGACACGATCCTATTCCTAGTCCGCATTCATATGATGAATATGCATTAAAATATAGGATTATCATATAAGATCGCACACTTCACAAATATTATTCCTAATATTTATTCTTCATGTGTTACACATACAGTGTTCTACTTATCGTTAGTTTTCCAACACTACAAATAAGCAACTTATTGTCCTAATGATGCGCAAACATTAAAACAGTCATTATTTTCCACTAGTTAGTGTTGTACTTAAATTAACAAGGCTAAAATGAATGTTTATATGGTAAGGATGTAATAAAGTGTATCATAGCTATTGGGACATGATTGCATAATTTGTCATTTCAGGGCTTCAGATTGAAGTTCACTTACCTTCACTGTTATTAATCTCTTGAATGGGATGAATATGTTGACATTTCATTAATTGGCATAGACATATAGACTAATTTTGGTAGTCACATTAACTGAATCTAAATAGAGTTACTTGTTTGCTTCTAAATTAAAGTTTAGTTAGTTCATTACTTCCAATTGAAGTTAAGTGACAAGTAGAGTGAAAAATTGAGTGACCTCTAATGCAAATAATTCCAACATGTATCTCCCTCATAAAATTGAATGAAATGTCAGTAATGACAATGATGGTACAAATAAATCCCCACATTCAAGCCTTTTACCATAATGCACAACCGTCCCCTCCTTTATCACCACGCATTCACACCGTACTCCCACAATGAAAAATGGAACAAGAGCTTCAAAATCTTTCCACCGCAACCAACGAATATCTTGATGATATCGACAGTTGCTATTCCACTCCGTCAGTGCACCTTCTAGCCCAGAACCCATAACCTCCTCTCTTGGTGGTTTACAATGTAAGCAATTATGTAACCCTAATACCAAGATTTTTTAGAATTCATAATTTTCACATATAGATTAATTGATCAAGTAATATACTTTGATTCATAGTAATAGTTGAAAGATTTTAACCTTCAAAATAGAAAATGGTGAAATTTAGAAATTGTTCTCTCTCTCTCTCTCTCTCTCTCTCTCTCTCTCTCTTCCTTTCTGTAATTGAATAATTTATTTGATGAGTTTCATTTACATTTATAGGCAGAAAGAGACAGTTTCATGAACATAAAAGAAAACTATTCAGATGGACTTCATTCACATTTATAGGTAGAGAGACAGTTTCATGGTCATAAAGGAATTATTCACCCTACATCGAAGTCATGTGCCATAAAAGAAAACTATTCACTTTCTGTCAAAGTGAACAGTTATTAAACTGTCACTTCTCAATGGACTAATAGAATTTTATCAATAATTAACCATCATTAATAATATTACTTGGACCAAATTTATTGGTCCATGTAATATTACATCGTTTTGTGGTCGATAACACAATGCGAATATGAAAAATTAAAATTCCCTTGTACATTGGTCATTTAATATATCATCCATAAGTAAAGACTAAATAAGAGTCATGACGGTTTTACATTATTATTTTGACATAATTCCTTCCATGTATTACAATATTAGTCCCCACCTAACATGATACATAATGAGAAGTTCGATAACTGCATTTCAATAATGTCTTTGAAAAGACTGTTCGTGACAGCATTCATATAATTCATTCATGTACATATATCAACTATTATGACAGAAATAATATTTTGTCAAAAACAATACATAAACGAGCTCAAAGTGTCAATTACTTAAATTCCATAACGTCAACGATCATTTCCAATAGTGTCCATTCATTAGACATGTTCATTAAAAGTCTTTGGTAGCAATCCTTGCGTTAGTGGATCTCCAATAATAAGATTTGTGCTAATATACTCGATTGACACCTTTTGTTTTTGCACTTCCTCTTAACGACTAAGTATTTCAATTCCACGTGCTTAGTACCTTTAAAGTACTTGTCGTTTTTTGAAAAGAAGACTACTACAGAATTGTCACAATAAAGTTTCAGCGGCTTAGTAATACTGTCGACAATTCCAAGCCCCGAAAAAAAGTTCTGCAGCTATTTTCCTTGAACCGTGGCCTCAAAGCATGCCACAAACTCAGCATCTATAGTGGATGCAGCAATGACCGACTGTTTCCCACTTTTTCATGATATAGCCCTTTTAGCTAGGAGAACAGATAGCCAAATGTGGACTTTCTAGTATCTACACATCCAACAAAGTCTGAATCCGAATATCCAATGACTTCCAAGTTATCAGATCTCCTATAAGTAAGCATGTGGTCTTTCGTTCCTTGCAAGTATCTCAACACATTCTTTGCAGCTTTCCAATGATCAAGTCCGGGTTACTTTGATACCTACCTAGCATTTCGACAACAAATCTGATTTCTGGTGCAAGTTTGAGCATTTATTAAACTAATCACAAGAGATGCATAAGGAATAGCTGTCATTTGTTTACGTTCCAATTCGTTTTTAGGACATTGTATGAGACTAAATTTGTCTCATTTTTGAATTGGAATGACACTTGCTGAACAATTTTCCATCTTAAATCTCTCTAAGACTTTGTTTATATATGCTTTCTGAGATAACCCTAACAATCTTTATGACCCGTCTCGGAATATTTCAAATCCAATCATATAGGTTGCCTCTCCCATATCTTTCATTTCAAAATTTTTAAAGAGAAATTTCTTAGTTTCATATAATAGACTGAGATCATTAGTAGCTAGCAAGATGTCTTAACGTACAGAATCAAAAATATAAACTTGCTCCCACTGATCTTTAGATATATGCATCTATCAACGATATTTTCTTAAAATCCAAAGGAAGTAATGGTATAGTTGAACTTACGATACCATTGATGGGAAGCTTGTTTAAGTCTGTATATTGATTTCTTTAATTTACACACCATGTGTTCCTTTTCTTCTACTGAAAAACCTATCTATATAAACTTTTTCATTTAAATTTCCATTTAGAAAGGCGGTTTTCACATCCATTTGATGTAACTTTAAGTCATAATGGGATACTAAAGCCATTATAATTCTGAGTGAGTCCTTCTTGGATACTGGAAAAAATGTCTCCTTATAATCAATGCCATCTTTCTAAGTATAACTTTTAACAACAAGTCTAGCTTTATATCGTTCGATATTACCATTAGATTTGCGTTTAGTCTTAAAGACCCATTTGCACCAAAATCTTTACACGATTCAAGTAATTCGACGAGATCCCAGACTTCATTATGTTCTATAGATTTCAACTCATCTTTCATAGTATCTAACCATTTATCAGAATTAGCACTCTCAATTGCATGTGAAAATGAAGCAGGATCGTCATCAACAATTCCGAAGAAATTCAGACTTTTGTAGGTAAACCACATAATCATCAGAAATAGAAGGTCTGCGTTGTCTTTGTGACCTTCTTAATTCTATTTCTTGTGGTTCATTTAATGTAAGTTCATTAGCAGCAACTTCATTATGAGATGTTTGATCATTTATTTGTTGTTCCGGCAAATTGTCACACTGTTCAACAATTCGAAGAACAACAACATTAGAAGAAGTTGAGGGTAGATAAACTTGAACTCTAACTTCTTGTATTTCCACATTTCATGGTTCCGAACTCCCACTAATTTCACCATTCTCAATGAACCTAGCATTTCCAGTTTCAATAATTCTAGTAATATGGTTAGGACAATAAAATTTATACCCCTTTGATTTTTTGGATAACCAATGAAAAATCCACTGATTGTTCTTGAATCCAGTTTCTTTTTATGTGGTATAAATTCTTGCTTCTCCCGGGCAACCCCAACATGTAGGTGCCTTAAACTAGATTTTCTTCATGTCTGCAGTTCAAAAGGAGTCTTTGGAACTGCCTTACTGGAACCTTGTTTTGCAAATATATAAGAGTTTTTAATGCAAACATCTACAAAGAAATCGGTAAAGAAGAATTGCTTAACATACACCTAACCATTTCTATTAGAGTACGATTATGCCTTTAAGCTACACCATTTTGTTGTGGTGTGCCCGACATAGTGAATATATGTCACGTCTTTCAAGAAATTTAGCAAATGGACCAGGGTGTTGTCCAATTTCATTATACCTTCCGTAATATTCACCACCTCTATCAGATCTA